TTTTTTTTTTTAACAAAAGGAAATGTGCAAAGAGTAGGGAAACACAAGGGAGGTGATTTTATGAATGGCCCAGGAGGCTAGAAGTGGAGGAAAAAGCACATGGGGGGTGTGGTTTAACTAACTTTGTATTTTGCCACACGGTGTTTTCATTTACAGCCATGTCTGATAAATGAACACGTTTGACATCACTGATAAATATATTACTATCCGGGCCTACCGGAAACCCAGGGTGCTGGGGCTCGGCTAAAGCTTCTGCCTGTGGCATCTGCTTGGGGATGGGGAGGCACGTATATTTTTCTTCTTAGTAAAATTATCTGCCAGAGAAACAATGAAGTGTGAAAAAGTACTATTTAGAGTGTGCGTGTCTACATATGTTTCAAAAACACTAGCTGCTACCTTCTGGGCAACTTCTCTTCGTATAAAAGTGCATATAGATCTCCTTTCAATTTCAGTGGCTTTTTTAAACTCATCTCGCGGGTTGAAAACAATGGTACCTATTTAGTTTCGCACGCCATGGGGACAGAAGCCCCCTCGTGCTTTCCTCTAGATTGGCATCGAAAGACCCTCAGACCAGAGGCACAGTTCACAGTATGGAGATTACATACCTTCCACTCTTCCTCTCTAACACATTTTTCTTTAAAAAGGAGACTAAACGGAAGTCAGGGGCAGGGTGTTCTCTTAAGGCTGCAAACGATGATAATAATAATAATGATAATAATGATAAATTTTTAATGTACAGTTCTTACATAAATTTCTTTTTGTGAATACACTGTAAGTATACATTGCTGGGGCTTCCAAAACGTGGTGTATCCCACTGATGGCTCCAACTTGCAAGTGGGCTCAGTTCTGTAATTGGAATGAAAGGAATTTTAACACTATTTAGACAAAGACTCAGATGCAGTGGAAAGGGAAAGCCAGATTTCCTTACAGAACTTATTTATTTTTTAAGTAAAAATTTATTTCTACTAGGGACACTTAGGCAGAATTTAGGATTTCTTTGTTAAAAAAAATAAAACAAAATAAAACAACAAACACATGTATCTGTGTGTGCCTCTCAGACTACATTTCAAAGTTTGATAGTCATGCTTCTATGTAAAACTACCTTTCACTAAGGAGTTAACCTTCTCTTAAAGCCAGCCACCCAAACCCCATTTTTGCCAGTGCCTCACTGCTTTCTAACGTTTGGGGCCCAAACCCACTTATTACAGTGAACTGCCTTGTCGAGTCCTATCAAAATGCTTAATTGTGACACAAGTGTTTTTCTCAGGACGGGACTGCAGTGAGTCCATCCTGAATGACACTCTGATTTTCAGAAGCCTTTGCCTCAAAGCTTTCATCTGAGGCTGAGCTTTTAGCATAACTGATATATCTGCGTCTCTACCCCTTCAGGGGGAAACTGCCTATCTCCTCCATGGGATCAGAGGGAAAAAAAACCCCAAAACCTCTGAAGCAGAGAAGAGCTAACTTCCAGCACAGGGATTTACGTTTACTATGAAGACTTTTGTTAATCAAAATGAAGTGTGGAGTCAGGAGTTCTATCCAAACTGGCACATGAAGGAAGGTCAAAATGCAGTGGGTTTACCCCGTCTTTGCGTTCTGTGAAAAAGGGGAAGGAAGACAGGATATCAACTGGCCAGAGCTTGTCCGCGCCAAGCACAACCTGTTTTCTTCAAAATAAGGCCTTCGTTCAGAGTTGCAATATTATCTTAAAAAACAAAAAACAAAACAAAACAAAACAAAACAAAAAAACCCAAAACAAAATAAAACAAAAGTCATCGTGTTTGGCTATATTTTCAAAACAGTGTTGGCTTTGTCTAACATTCTTTTAGCATTCTAGGGGAAGTCGATTAGGAGTGCAGACTGCATGAATTTGTAACATTAGTTGCATGAATTTATGTCATTTTAAAATAGGTCAACTCTGTTAGTGAAGAAGGTAGCTCAAGGCTTTCCAAGTCATCTTTGAAGTTAGCCTCGAAACACTGCTTGTTTGGGGGCAAATATTGATCAATCAGAGCACAGATTCTATCAAGGTATTACTTTTTTGCTTGTGTTTCTGGAGTTAAGGTGATCTGATCATAGCGCTTCTCTAAGTGGTGAAGCCCCTCTCTGCTAAATACCGTGAAATATGATTTAATGACACAGTTTTAAATTCAGAGATGTACTTGGGGTTATGTGAGTAAGGGGTGGGCTTTTCTTTTTCCTATTTAAGACAAATGACCTTCAAAGTTAAAAAACAAAACAAGCAATTGGATTTGTCCAAAGTGTTGATGTTAAGTCGGGTCGGGCCCTGCTAACCAGAAAATCATGGTGTGTAAGGGAAGAAGGAAAAATAATCTATTCTAGCCAAAAGGCAAGAATTGTTTATCTTTACCATGAAATGCGTATGTGCCCAAGCCACCTCCTGCCATGACTTCTCTGCCAGGCCCATTTCCCTCTAGATGGGCTTGCTGCTGGGCTGGACCAGGAGCCGAGAGCAATGCCGAGCAGGCCCTACTCTGGTTGGGATTTTGTTTGTTTGTTTTCACCAGAGGGCAATAATGTCTCAACTCACTTGAAAACTGAAAACTTTGCATGGAAGGCGGGGGGAGGCTTACGGGGGGGGGGCTGCATTTTGAGAGGTCATAATTTACATTTATATTAAATATTTCTAATTATTCAAAGGGATGGCCTCCCACCTCACAAAACAGCCTATGTTTTGCCCTGAATTACTGCCTCCCTACACGTCCATTAATCCTGCCTCTGGAGAAAAGGATGCATTTTACACTTCTAATGCAGTTTTGGGCCCAGTTAAATTGTACACTAAGAAACTGAGCACAGAATCAAAAAAAATGCAGTTTATTATTGTAGATTATTCTTTCTCTTGATATAACCAGAATTGAAAATGAAAGAAAAGCACATAGGAACATCACGCGTGGTTAGTTAGTAACTCAAGATATAAAACAATTTTGCACAGCAAAATATGTAAAAGAAAAGTAACTGACAAGATTTTTTTATATTTATTGTGGTAAGATTTACTTTTCATTTTTTTTTTAAAGACAGGATGTCAGTCCCTGAAAATAACATTTAACTGATTATTGCCTTTAAAACTGTGGATTTTTTTTTAAGTTACAGAAAATCCAGTTCTGCACCACAATACAACTGTAAAAAAATCTGCATCATCTTAAAACTGTGCAGTAATGCCATTTTAATAACTGCATAAATTTTATTAGCGTTCTAAACAGTTTTGCAAATTTTTTTGTATTATATGCTTGCAGGTTATATCTTAGTGCAATTCAGTCCCAAATACTTTAAATTTGAAAAAAAAAACAAAAACATACATTTTGAATGTAAAATACCCCTACAGATATAAACAGGGGTGTTTCCCCTTTAATACTTTGGTTTTCAATACAGTCAGTGGTATAGCAAAGACTACACATACCCAACTTATATTTAAGTTGCAAGCACATGCTGTATAAGCTACTTTTTTTTTAAACAGTCCCCTTGCAAACTCTACCCCCCTTAACATCACAACAGTAAACAATTTAGTGCATCAATCTTTTAAAAAATCTACAGCTAAACAGACCTAACTCTTTCAAATTTATCTATAACATTCCTTTATCTGTAGCATACATTTTAACTGGGCTAACAGATTATAAAAACTAGAATTAAATTATATACTAGGAACCCATAGCATTCCATATTTGACAATGACCAAAAGCCAAAAAAAAAAAATAATAAAAATAAAACAAACCAAAAATAATGGGGCAGATTTCTTTTTTTCTTAAAAAATAAATTTAGACTGCTTTCCACAACAGCACAATTTTAGTCCCCAAAGTGGGGTGTCATTCTTATTAAAAAGAAAACATTAAGAGTTCTTTAAATGTTTGCCATGTTAAATTTTTAACCCATTCTGGCATCTTTGACAAGGAATGCCTTCAGTGCATTTACAGTGGGAGGCTGAAGTTCTCAGTAACTCAAAGCAGTTTTGGAGCAGATGCAAACTTTCATGGGAAGAAGGCTCTAGGGTGGCACTTTTTTGTTCTGAACTCAAAAAAGTCATGAGGCAATTAAAACAAAAGTATGAATGCCATGCCATAAGTCTTCGAACGTCCATTTCCAAGCCAAAAGAAAAAAAAAAGAAAAAAAATAATTATACCATACATGTCCAGCATGCAGGCTTTTTTTTATTAATATAATGTCTCTTTTCCATAAAGTCTTTGAAACAGTTATAGTTCATTGTTGCTAAGACAAAGTAGCAAGCATAATAATGCATGAGATGAGAATGAGTTTTTTAATGGCAGACTAAACTCTCAGATTTGGCATGATAAGGCCAAAACTCACAAGTCACACCCAGAAGGTTGATGCAGGACTTGATTGTGGCAGGTTCATGAGGATTTTTTTTTCTCTAGTTTAGCATAACAATGCTAAAAACCCGATGGAACTCAGCGCGCTGCAAGTCTATAACATTTCACATTTTTTTTTTTTCCTTTGCAAGCTCAATCTCACATGAAGAACTCAGGAGGAGAAAAAAAACTTAGCTTTTTTTTTTTTTTTTCCTTTTATCTCTGAGGAGATGGGTGAAGAGGGCGTGAGGGTGAAGGTTGGGGAAAAGGGCAACACAGCAAGCTCCAAAAAGTAAAATTAAAAAAAAAATCCAAACAAAATAAAACACACACACACACACACAGAAAATGAACACCAGCTCATGAACTGAAGAAGAAGGAGGAAAAAAAAAAAACACTGTCAATGATGCAGGCTTCAAAGGTGAGCATGAAGAACTCTGCTGAGATCTTTGAACATTGTGTGTGTGTGTGTGTGTGTGTGTGTGTGTGTGTGTAGGGGGGTGTAAATAAAAACAAGCTAGCAAGTTATGGAGAATTTCAGATTGGCAATCCAAGAGCCAGACATTCACTCCCTCCCCATTTAAAAACAGCCACCACCACCGCCAACTTGGAGCAGGGTGTGTGTGTGTGTTGTGTGTTGTGTGTTGTGTGTGTGTCTGTGTGTGCGCGCGCGCGCGCGTGTGTGTGCAGGGGCATCGGGCAATCTCAGCAGGGGAGGGGGCGAGGTGGCGGCGAGCACGGCTCTGGAACTAGCAAGCCCACACCCGAGTCGGACCCCCACGGAGCACTTATCAAGGTGGCTAGCTGGGATCGCGTGTCAGACTCACATGAAAAACTCGGGAGAGGACGGGTTGTCGCTGCTGGAGCCGTTTTCTCGGAAGCCGCTGCTCACCAACTTCTCGTATTTCTCCTTGTACGCGTCCCTCTCGCGCACCAGCCTGGAGATTTCCTGCTTGAGGTGGTCGACCTGCTGCAGCAGCTGGTTCTTCTCGGACTCCAGGACGTGTCTCTGCTGCA